CTTCTGTGCCTCTAATCTGATTCTCTCAATCTCATTGTCGTAAACTTTCTGCTGTCTTTCATTTTCAGCAATAAGTTTGTCGATTTCTATCTCAAGCCTTTTGGACAAACTCTTGTAGTCGAATTCTTCCTTTATCTTGAGCATGTTCTCCACCTTCATAGCCTATGGAGAAATCAGACCCATTTATTAAAATGAAAAGTTATTTGTCCAGTAACAAAAAACTGTCGCCTACAAATAAAATTACATTTACTCTGTGCCGCAAATATAACTTCTCACTCTAACAACTCACCCTTTGAGCAAACAATATCGTGCTTGCTGTTTCTGCCCGATGGCGTGGAGATGGACCTATCGTGACAACTAATGAAGTTCTGGATGTTCCTGCAGCATTACCATAAGTTAAATAAAATCAAGTCCTGAACAATCATACATTTCCTCACTGCATTCATGAAGTCATCACTTTTGGAATCATGCAACCATTTTTTTCAGGAATGGCCATGATAAAGAGGAATGAAGTAGTTCAGGAAAATGGATAATAAAATTACTGAATTTCCAACAAAAACACTAGAGTTCACTTGATATTATATATTTATGCTTAAAAAATAAGCACAAAATCTCACCTCCAAATGAATCTTTAAGCAACCTCGTGAGCTTTGAATCTCGAACAGGAACATGTGAACTATTTTCTGCCAAGGCATTTATACACTTTCCTAAAGCACTAAGAGAAAGGTTTATGGACTTGGCTTCTTCTAACACGTGTCCCTCGCTTCCTTCAAGGAACAATTAGCAGTATCTCAGATTACTATTGTAGACTGTAAACCAATGAAGGAAATCCATTCATAAACGTCAAAACAAGAATGGCCCAGAGAACAGACGCAAATATAGTCTCCTGCAAACCTCTTCCTATATTTGGCATAATTGCTCAGTATAGATCTGAGAACAAGCCCACTGTCAGTTAACTCTCGTAATAACTGTGATATGCATGCTCAGTCATATATACTAGGAGTTGTAGAATAACACAACATAAAGTAGACTATAGCTTTATTTCTTTATATCAATATATAAACAGACAACATCTAAATATGATAAACTGAAAATTTGAAATAACACCCCAGCCAGGTTAGTCCAGATTGAAGATCCTACAGTGCATGTTGGTCACATTTTCCGCATATTTAATCTTATACAAAGGATTCAAATCTTGGGCTTTAGCATCGAGAGTTAGAAAACCTCAACTAGCTCGTGTGAAAATTCATCTTCTATGGATAGTATCAGCAAATATTTATTTTGTCACATTTTCCTGCTCATGTTTCGTACAGAATAAATACTGAAATAAGAACATGCATGCAAGTGAACAAAATTTATAAGTTCAGAAAAATCAGATAAATTGAAGCCGGCAGTCTACTTACAATTACCTGATTTGTGTATACGTTCAGAACCAGCTAGATCTACAACAATTAGTTTGCCTTTCCGAAGCATAGGGGGCCTAATATTGCCGACTATATCAGAGCGGTCTCGAGTTTCGATAGAAAATTCATCCCTGTCAGGTACAGACTTCTTCACTTGTACCTATACTATGCCACACAAGTTTTACAGGGGTAGAAGCGAGAGAAGAAAAAAAAAAAAAAAAGGAAGAAGAACGAACGAACGAACGTAAACACGAAAAAATTTATAGTTTACCATGAGAAGGGCATGACTACGGGAAGACTCAGTGTTCATTTTAGTGTTAGCAGCAATCCTATGAGCTTCCCCTAAGCGCAGAAGATCAACAAAACTTTGTTGGTCCCTGATCTCCAAAACAGTTGCCCCTGGCAAAGAAACATCACCACTTTTTTGGTCTTCAACTATTGAGATATTATCATTTGCTGGATTTAGCAGATCCTGGATCATTTCCATGTAAAGCTACAGGAATCAACAATTTTGAGTTAGAACAGCATTTGAATTTGAAGAACTCCTCTACTATATAACCAAATAATGCAAAACAAAATTCATCTAGAGATAATCATAGCATGTGGATTTTAAATGTCACCTGCAAGTAAGAAACTGAGATAGAATCAGTGTCTGGACAGATATTTGCAAGTATATCCTCCATGGAACGAACCATTATACCCCTAGCAGAGGTGTCTTCATCACCGAGTTTTCCTAGAGTATAAGTCTTTCCAGTACCAGTTTGACCATAGGCCATCACTGTCCCGTTATAACCATCTAGAACACTCTGAGGAAATTAAGGAAATGAAAAAAAATAATCGATAATGCTACTGTAAGATTTGAGGAACCTGGAAACTAATAACGAATGATCCATTGTTGTGGATAAAAATAAAATCGAGGGACGTGACATCATAGCATTAGGACCATCTAAGATGGCAATTGGCACATAATAACACCTTAAATTAGCATTTGTCAGAATCTCATAATCTTTTAAATGTAATAACATTACTTCCAAATTTAAGGTCAAGAGTTGAAATGCAAATCTAACCAGTCCTTGCTAGTAAAAATTGAAAAAGCCAAACAAAAACTATATTAAACACACTTGCTCGACCTGATATAAAATAATATTAACTATGCAAGACCGAAGATATAATAAACGGTAGCAGCAAAACATGCCCGACAGATACAATAATAATTCAAATAGAACATAGTCAAATGTCTAGCAGTATACTTTAAATATGCTGGAATAAACATTTTAGGATTAATATTATAACATACTGGGCCATTCTGTCGAAAATGATCACACTATGTCATAAACCTCTATAAACATCGAACAGAACAAGATAGCCTCCGATACTTACCTCGACAACAGGTTTGGCTACAACTTCATATACACGCTTCTGCGATGCAAACTCAGTTAGAACCTCATCAAACTCATAAGTATCTGAATCCCAATTGTTTTTACGGAGTTTCAACCTTTTCAGCTGCAACAAACAAAAACTATACATCAGCTGGGTGAAAAAGTAGAATAAAATTGTAGAATATATACAATACGATGAAGATTAGAAAAAATTCTGGAACCTCTGGCTGTAACTCCACACAATCAGCAAAATCTGCATCCGCTACCAGCTCCTCAGCATTCCGAGGCCGCAACCTCACAGCAACTCGGACTCTTCCAGAAACTACCACAAAAAAAGGTAATATACGGATCGGATTTAGCCAACTAAGGTATTAATGTAGCTCCGGTAAAGACAAGAAGTTAAATATAGATTGATTTGCCCCCGACAAAGCTCAGAAATACTAATTAATTCACAGCCGAATATTCGTTCCATTCACCAGATGATTAACCAACTGAGTTTCATCTCTATTAGGAATACTGTGAGATGAAATGCCACAGGAAACAAAATTCAAATGGGTCCCCACTAATCACCCGAGCTCTGTAACAACCTCACTCACCCACTCCCAACAATACAATTCAATTAACATTCCGATTTGAAGTGCTCCAAACAATACCCAATCATAAGCAGTAATCCCAAATTCACAAAACCATCACACACACACACACACATAAACAAGCCACAACTATGCTAAGACTAATAAATAGATAAAGCATAATTTCATAAACAAAGCTAAAATCAACAGTACAATATTAGATTCATCCAGCAAAAAGCACATTCCAACCGGAGCCGCCGCTGCATACACAGAACGATCAAGTTCCAAAGCATCCTACAATGCTATTAAGTAAGCAGATCGGCTCAGATAAGAAACACTCGGAAACAAGTCCGACGCAAGTCACTCACCGGAATCAGCTCCGATGCCGATCGAGGCGGGGCTGCTGCGGCGGACGGGCGGCGGATTCCTCGATTTGAAGGAAGCCGAGGTGCGAAGATTCGCCCTGTGCGCGCCATTTCTGTAAGCACCGCCGCCGCCGGTGGCCATGCCCTCGTTTCTCCGTCTCTTTGCTTTTTTCTTCGCAACTGAGTGAGTGAAAAACGAAATAGTAAAAAGATTTTAAAACGACAGGGAGAGGTAATGAAAGTGTGGGACTGTGGGGATTGGGGGGAAATTAGATGAAATGAGAAGGGTTTTTCGGACTTTCTGTGCTTCGTGCATTATGCTGAGCTGGAAATCAGGTCAAAGTGGTGATGGGAGTATCCGTACGGTTTTGGCGGTGCTTTTAAATTTTTTCTCATCCCGAAAAGAAATAGAAAAAATAAATAAATAAATATTTAATAAATTAATTGATTTAAAATTGTAAGTGAGTGTAATAAAAATAAAATAAATAAAACTAGTGTAATTTTAAAATAATAGAATATTAAGTGATAGTAAGTGATATTTAGAATGTGAGTGAGTGAGTGAATATTAATTTTATGAGACAAAATATAATAATGTTCCATCTTCGTTTTTAAATTTTGGTAGAATTACATGAAATGGTGAAATAAGATGAAATTCAACATTTTTTCTTAATTGGTCAGATAATATTGGAAAGTTATCTTATACAATTATGTTAACCTATCAACAAATTTCTCAAGAAGCATGCGTATTTTATTTAATAAGAGGAAACATCTATTTGATTATTTCCACTGAACAATTATCAATAGAAATCATTATACATATAATTATAATCAATACAATTTCATACGAATACGGTTAATCACAGCTTATATTTAGCAATATAATAGGACACACGTTAATATAAGATTTAGAAATAGAAAAGCAGTAAAAAATTGGCTATTTTTTTTCTCAACTGCTATTCACCGCCCCCCTTTTACTTGTCACCGCCCCCCCAATTACTCTTTTGCCCTTAACCTTTTTTTGGATTTCATCTCTCTAAACTTTATCTCTCTAAATTTTCCGAACTTCAACGAACGATTCGAGCATCAAAAAAAATCCGAAAAAATGTCGAAAAAATTCTACGGCCTCGGCAAAGGATTCTTCTCCGACAAGGTATTTTTTTTTTTTTTTTTTTGAGCCGAACTATTTTTAAAAAATTTTTTGAAANGGAAATGCCACTGAATGAAAAGCGTCAAAGATGTTTCGTCTTTTTGAGGAGACAACCCTCGTGAGAGAAGAATTGACGAAAATGGGCTTCCATTACCTGCACGACTTGGAAAAATGTCTGACCAGATTTTCAACTGCTTCAAAAGAAAAGCAAGAATCTAGGCACGTCGCCTCGAACACCAAATCACGACCAATATTCAGGTTAAAAACAAACGGTACAAAAGCTTTGCTGTTCCTGTCTCCACAAAGAAATATTCACATTTCTACAAGCTAAAAAGGGAAACCGAACCAAAATAAAAAAAATAAAAAAGTAAAAACAACTAACCAATAAATAAACAAACAAAACATCAACTCAGTTACAAAAAAAGAAAAACATCACTCACGTACACGCACGAGAACTTCATTCCCCACTTCCAAAATTTCCACATTTTCACCCCATCGAATCTTCTTGAGTATCATCATCATCATCTTCCTCCATTCTATCCTCAGACCTCACTCTCTCACCGTACCTCTCATCATCATCCGAACCTGATTCCCGACCCTCATTGTCCACGTCATCGTCATCCTCATTACACCCCTTGGATTCCGAGTCGGATGCCACCCCCTCTTCAGGCCCCACAGCAAGGCTGAACTGCTCCCTCAGATCAGGCGCAACAATACCAATCATCTCGCTCAACGCCCGCCTCTCGTGGCTCATTCGGTCAACATCACCCCCCGACTTGGTCAATGGTATGTGTTGACTCTCGGCCACCAAGCTACTCGAATCGTGTGTGGGTGAATGAGGATACTCGTTCTCTCCATGAACCGAGGGGGCCGTGCTGCAGGCCCAGCTTCCGGCAATTTCCGAAGCCAAAAGGTCGTTCGTTTTAATAGTTCCACCCTCCTCAGTTTCTTCCTCCATCGTGTCTCCAGCTTCAACCGGGCTGCTTGATTGGGAACGATTTTTGTTCCCATTATCCTCATCAATATTCTTCTTATTGTTATCTGTGTGCATCGTGCTATTTGAATTAAGATGCCTCGCGTTTTGACTCTCAGTCTCCATAACGCGCTCGGTCTCAGCTGGGCACCCGCCCTCCGTCTCGGGAATTTGCTCGGTTCCGATCAAATCCCCATGGGAGAGTTCGGGTTGCGTGCCGACGCCGTTGATGTCGGAGCCAAACGCGCCCTTACCATCCTCCAATAATGGGCCCACAAACTCTACCTCTTGCGTGTTGGGCCCGTTTTCGCCCTGGCTCTGGACATTGTTGCATTCGTGCTTCTCGGTCACGCTTGCCTCGTCGCTCGACGACTCGTCTCGGCCCTTGGCGGTTGTGTTGCTCTGACGAGCCTCCTCCTCCTCATCTCCGGCAGACGAGCGGTGGTTTCTGTTGCCATCGAAGTCGGTAGATGTGGTCTCGTAATTCTCCTCGTCTTCGAGTGTCCTCTGCATTGACTTGAGCTGCTCTTGCTGTTTTGCAAACAGGACGGATATTTCCTCTGTGGTGGAGTAGAAGGCCCGAAGCTGAGTTTCACTGCAGTAAATACCGTTTTTATATAATTAGGCAAGGACTAAAAAATTTTGACTTGCGAAATACCACACCAAAAATCATGAACAACTTGTTTATTTTTCATTCTTGTGAAATTATGTAGGTAAGGGATTGTTCGTGAGCAACTTTAAAGGATGCTTGGATATAAGATTATTTGGTTTGGTTTGGTTAATTTTGAAAAATGTGGTACGGTTAGTTGTTAGTAAGATTTTGAGTTTATTTTCAAATAATATTTAAAATAAAATAATTAAAGTTGATCTAAAGAGATGATGTGAAGTGATGATTAGTTAAAATTATGTGAGTGGATGAATAGCGAATTAAAGTTGATATCATGTGTAAGAATGATTGATTGATATTATTTAATTATATTGATAATATTGAGGATAGTGAGGTTGGATTAAAGTTGGAGTTAGATTTGAGTTACAAAAATGGATTGGTTATAAATGATTGGACTTTTTTTTGGATATCTTGTATCCAAGAATCCTTAGCACCTTGTTTTGTGCGTGATTTACTCTAGTAGGTATTAATTCAGAATGCGAGATGAAATTCATCTTATCTTAATATAAAATGCATTCTTACCGGAGCATAATTCTCTCCCTGGCAGCTTTGAGCCTGCGTCTCTCAAAATCAAGATCCCGCACTGCAGCACTGATCTCAAGCTCAAGAGCAGACACCTTTGCCCAAGCTTCTTCCCGAGCTGCCTGCTACAACAGCAAGAGAAACTCAGATTACATATGCATAATTACCTGTGTCGGCCAAATTTTACATTTTCTGTTCATGTATTTGAAAATAAATTCCTAAATGTGAAAGCATGAATATAGCAGAGAATTGCATTGGGTCAACTGCGTATAGAATAAAATAATCGTAATGCATATCTTACCTTTTCACGCTCAAGTTCTTTCCTCAGTCTTTTTATTTCATGTTCCAGTTCTTCAACCCTCTGTGGAATAGTAAATTTGTTTATTTTAATTTTTTTTAAAGGAAAAGGCTAATATAAGAAGGAAAAGTGTGGCCAATTAAATCATCATCAGAACATTGATTCAGTGGTAATTATAGTAGCATATCTTGGTAGGTGAGAAAACCACATTACTTTTTGAGTAGTAGTGAAACCTTGCTGCTCCTCACGCATTTGACCTTCCAACTGACGCACTTTATAATCAGAGTTGACCAATTTTTGTCTTGTATCTTCCTGTCGTAGATAAGGGCAACATTTTAGTGCCAAGGCAAGATGATGCATGGGAAAAATAAAAGTAACATACCAGTTTGGATCTCAATGTTTCCATCAATGAGCACCTTTCCTTGTCCGCCTCCTGTATAAACAAGTTAAATTTGAGCTCCACAGAAGAAAAAGCAAAATCACGAGAAAATTCATTTATCTTTTCAAATTTAACCTGGAGCTTATTTATCATTTCTTGTTGTTCCTTCTCCCGTCTCGAAGCACCATCTGAGACTCGTTTTATTTCCTCTGCAGCCTCAGCTTGAACTTTCTGTAATGCCACTTTCATATCCAGAGAAGCTTTCTCTCTCTCTTCTCTCCTCTGATCACGCTCTTCCTCTAATAGACCTTTCAGTTCTGATATAGAGGCCTTCTGGCTGAACCGAGCAAAATGAAAAAGATGGGGTTTCCATGTATCTGGTTTACCATAATCTCAACCGACTTTCATTGCAAAATAAAGACGAAGTTCTTGAAGATAGAGAACACAGAAATTTGACCCTAGAAGCTAAACACAAAAGCAAAAGCAAAACCAAACAATTGCTCAGTTTTCACAATATACAATTTTGTATGCAGGGAATATAAAAAATTTCTACCTGGTCATATCCAACTAAAAAGAAAATGAATTTCGTACCCCCTGATATACATTAAAAAATAATCTAGATGAAGCCAGTGAAAATGGATTATAGCAAAGATTAACCACCAGCTCAACCAAAAACAGGGCACCTCATGTTGAGTGATGATTACCATTTATGCTATTGATTCTATCCAACGTTATGTAACATGCTTCTCACCTATTAATTATTTCATTGGCTTCAAGGCATGACTGTATAGATGCACCGAGTCGTTCATTAAGGTCTTCAATCCCATGTTTTTGCTCCGCTGATATTTTATTTAGCTCCGCTAGTTCCTTATCTTTCGCCTCCAAATGGTGGTTCAACTGACTGAGCTGATCTTCATAAGATTTTGCAACTGACTCTCTCAACTCCTTCAGTTCCTGCAGGTGAAAACCTCATCTTTAATCTCTGATGCTGGACAGCCACACTAACAATATATACAAAATAGGAAAGGAGATTGAAAGAAAATGATGAGAAGGTTATGTGCAGCATTATCAAATATCAATATTTACTAAATTGGCATAAAAACAATACAACTCAAATCACATTGCTTTACAAGCCAATATATTAATTCCATTTAACTAAACATAAGAAATTCATATCAAATTCCAGGAACCAAAACATTTTCATAAATAAATTCAGGTTCACAGGTTGGGATATCATAATAACTAAGGGAATGATGCGATTAAACAAATAAAGTATATTGGATAATGTAAATTACTATTCATCAACGGTGAATGTTGCTAAACTACAGTTCGACAGAGAGCAGTTGCACCAGTACTAAGCAGAGTGAGTCACAGGATAAAAGGATACGATACAATCAACTTGTTTCAGCCAGATGTGCTTTTCGAAGATATAATTTACGCAAATCATAAGAATGATATGCATACATTTTCATGTTTCTCAACGGCTGCACGATTTTCAGCGCGCAATGATTCAACAGTGGCAACTTCATTTTCCAAGTGTTTCCTGAGTTCCTACATATAAATTAAATACTTCCTCAAAAACTTTGACAAATATATTAGAAAAGAAAGAGAAAATAAAAACTGAGTTAATACTGTAGCAACTAAAATCGCTTAACAGTTCATATTGCTACCGTATTTGATCTTTGAAGACTCCGAAAATCATCAAGAGAGATTGGACCATCAGAAGCTCCTAAACCGATTCCTTTCAACCTCTTGCTATCAGCACCATATTCCTCTATATGAAATAAGTCATGAGTAAAATAAATGAAGTAGTGAAGTAAAATAAGTCATGAGTAAAATAAATGAAGTAAGTACATGAAGCAAGAGCGGGGCGAGCATCAGGTAGTAATATGACCAAATACAACTAATTGTTGTATAAAGATTAGCAGTTACACAACCGAAATCCCAAAGAACTATCAAGAATCAAAATTCATAATAGATGTTCTCAGCCTAAACTTAAAACTAGCCTAAACAATGGTTGGTAGAATGAGATACATTCAGAAACGGACGTTGATGGCCTCAAAATTACATACAAAATAACAAAACAGTTAAACAAAATGACCTCGGTCCATGCATCGTTTGATAAACCAATTAATATAAAATATTGTGTGTTACAACCTCATACTGAAACTTCTGCATGTACACTATTTCATGTTCACTTTAATTCTGTCCTAATCCTCTGTAAACATGTTTCTCTAAGGACCTCGGTCCATGCATCGACCAATTAATATAAAATATTGTGTGTTACAACCTCATACTGAAACTTCTGCATGTACACTATTTCATGTTCACTTTAATTCTGTCCTAATCCTCTGTAAACATGTTTCTCTAAGAGAAAAACAAAAAATCCAGTATATCCATCGCATAGCATCTGAAGTAATTACCTGGTTTTCGCTTCAGAGAACTGCAATCACTTACACGAGAGGATTTTTGAACTTCCCGAAATACAAATGCAAATGCATGTTCTGCGAAGATGGACCAGAGAAATTAAAATGTCACAAACACAAGTTGGACGAGTGAACTTGCATGTTATGTAAATAGCCCAAAAATTTATGTACGCAATAAGCAAGATTGTACTGAAAAGCAAAATGTTTCCAGCAAGGAACCTCTAACCAAAGAGGAATTCCAACTGCATAATATAACCACACAACTCACAACATCTCCGTATACATGAAACATAATTCTTTAAGTTCAACTTACATAAACTTTCAAATGTTTGAGGAGACTAAACTTGAACAAACATAAATCAGTTAACATATGGCAGTTTCGCATGAAGGTCAGCACACTCCGGAATAGCATTAAAATTATCTAAATAAAATTCAGTACCAAAAGTCTACCATGTTGAGGAGCAAAAGCGATCGAGATAATGTCTCCATGGCGTAGCTTCGCTTCAGAACTAGTCTTAGTTAACTTATCCCAGTTTAAGTAAGTTCCATTTGTACTGTGCCAAGATTACATAGAGACATTAGGCCAGTTAAAGTCAAAAACCATTACCGAACCCATTTCTAATTGATGCTTTTACCTAGAATCTTTCAAGAAGATAGAAAAGCAGTTGTCTGACTCTTGTTCTGTATCTCCAGTAGCAACCCTCCTCCGATAAATCTTGCAATGCTGGGCACTAACTGCAGGTGAAACGATCTGGAAACGATCATCGTCAACCATCCGACCAATGGTGTGTTCATTATTAGTCAGAAGCATATTCATGCCCTGGTATACAAAAGAAACCTTACCAACATCAGAAAAAAGAAAAAACTCCTAAAAAGATGAAAAGGGAAATATACTATTGCATGCCAAGCAATCCATAGCATAAAATACTGCACAAAATAAGAGCAGGCTATAACTCTGACATGAATTTCTAGTAATCTATAACTATTTTTCAGCTCAAACTACATAGTACCGTAAAAGATTCCATTACAAATTCCCCCATCAACTTCAATTGCAATCATTTAAGAGGTAAAACACACACGAGCAGCATAATTTCGTCGAAGGCGAACCTGGTGGCGCTTGCGGGCCTTCTCAGTAATCGAGGTGAGCACGCCCCAGACGTCTGGATCGGAATACTGAAACGGCTTGGCGGCGATTTTCTCGGCGACGGACCGTACGAAGTCTACTGAACTCTTCACATTTCGCGAAGCAGGTGAATTGTTGTTGCCAACGTTGTTGACTTCCTCAGGAGGCTTCGACTGGGGGAGAGAAGGAGTTTTCTGGGCGGGGTTCGGGCTGGAGACGGGCTTCGAGGCCAGAGAAGGAGTCGAGATCTCGTCTTCTTTCGCCATTCGCCGGAGTGAAAAGTTACTCGATAATGGCGGGGATTTTGAAAAACCCTAATTCTTTTATACAGACGATTTTGGATTTCCGGGAACTAGCGTACTGAGGAAGGAGGACGGAGTAAATTTGCATTTTTCAATTTACTTTAATTTTATTTATTTATTTTTAAATGCATAAAGAGAATTACGGAATTTTGTGGATGAAAAAGGTTAGACTCAAATGTGAATATTCAATTTAACTATATAAATGACGGTCCATGACCTACTAATATGTTTATACAAAAATTTTATGGAGCCATCAAATGGTTTTCTTATGGAGCCATCCATCACTTAATGTATTGACACATGTCCAAAGTGTATTTATTGCATGACACGTGTCAATACACTATTAATGAATAAGTATGGATGGTTCAATAAGTCGAGTCATCCGATGGCTCCATAGCAAAACTGTATGTTTATATGTAAATGATTATTGTATGTAGTACAATAATTAGTTATTGATGAATGCAAAATTTATCTAATAGGTATCCCATAAAAAATTTTTCAGGCATATTAATTGAGGATATTCGTGCAAAATTTATTTTATTGGACCTGGAGTAGGTCATTTGGATTATCTCTTGTTGCAAAAAATCATTTTTGCAATGTGTATCTTATGAAACGTTTGATCATAAGAAGAAAAAATCTAATCTTAGTGTAAGAATATTAGTTTGGCATCGTTCGACAAACCTAAGTGTTTTCTAGAAGATTTTCTTGTTAGCCAAGCAAAATTAAATAAAGGGAAGTTTTCTATTTATTTATTTGTTAATTAATTAAGTTCCTATTATTTATTATTAATAATATATGTTATATATTTATTATAATGTGTATTATGGATTCCTAAACCTTTAGGAGAAGGATTACATAATATATATCTTATATATTTACTTACCATATATGCCACATGTATTAATGAGCTTGATTCTATGTCATAATTAGTTTTCTCTATCTTGTAGGACAAAGAATAGGGAACAAGGACTATGAAAGGACGAGCAATTCGTGCATAAGAAATTCTGGACGTTATCTAGAAGATCTAAGGAGGATTTGGAAAGATTCACCACAAGATCTTTGAAGATTTGGAAGATCGGTTATTTTAGGAAAGTTGTGTTCTTACCCGAGTCTGGAACCACGAGATTTCCATTGGAAACTCAATTCTGAAGATCTCAAAATCACATACAATCAAGGAAGATTTACTTTCCATGTTACTACACTATTTTTGGAAAGAAGATCAAAGGTGATCGTGAAATAAGGAAAGAACTTGGAGAAGACTCCAAGCCTAAGGAGTTGTATATATACTCTACTTGAAGATCGAATCAAGGCTGCTGAGATCATTATTATTCACATACTATTCGAGCTTCAAGTCTTCTTTTATTTTAGTTCTCAGTTCAGTTTTCGGTGTTTTTACATATCGAAGAACTGAAGTCGTTTTGTCTTATTTTCTTTGTTTTTCAAACATTATTGTGATCAGTACTTAGAGATTAAGTGTTATTTAAAGTCCACGAGACGTGGCCGGATAAGTAGTTGGTAGATTCGAGTATAGTTGTTGGTTAGGCTAGAAGGGAGTTCTAGTTGCTGTAATTCCAACTACACGCATGTGCACAATCGAGTTATCAATGAAAGAGCTCTGAGGGGAAGTGGGACTCTTCCGTGAAGAGTTTTTTAAATCTTCGATTTATCGCTTCTGCTATTCTAGTTGTTTATTTGTGTTCTAACAACGTTGAGCGCGCACTCTCTATATATTTGTATTTTTATTTTATAAGATTCAAGAAGGCTTTATGATGACAGTTGTCGTACTTTGAATTATGTGTTTTATTTTATTTTTTCTTAATTGTTTATCTGAACAGGATGATGACAAATTAATTATTTAATGGTATGGTTGGGTATCTTTCAACTTCACTATTATTTTCTAAATAAAAAATACATTTACTATTTAGTGCATTCACTCATATTGAAAATGTAATTATTAAATTAAAAGTTACTTCTTATAACACAATTCCTAATAGAAATATCAATCATTTTCTATTTTTTATAGTAATAGAAATAAATATTATATTTCTATCACATCACTTATATTAATAAATATTATTTTTTTTAACTCACTTATCTTCACCAATCAATTTTTTTGTCACTATTAAGAAAATATTTAATATGACTCGTAATATCTACCAACAAATTGTTATGGTCCTTTTGGAGACGTGGTCAAGCTTCCCACTAATCACTTCACTAGTCACTAATCACTAGTTTGACCGTTGAAATAAACAATTATTTGCTTGGTGAAATAATTGTGACAATGATACTCCATTTTGAAGAAAAGCTACCTTCCACTTCTAATTTTTTCTATTCCAACCCAACCACTTCATAAAGTGCTACTTAATTTAGTTTATGTATATCAAAAATTTTCTTTTATTAAAAAAAGCAAAAACTTGTCTCTAAAATTCACAAACACATAAAGTATAAATTAGTTTAATGAACTACATAAGCTAACATACCTTAAACAAGAAGTTTAATTAGTTAAATTTAATGTCATAGTTATGAAAACAATAAAATAGAGAAAGCGAAAATACACACGGAAACACAATTAACAATTAGCAATATTCGTCACAAATTTCTATTTTTTGTTGTTTAAATATTGCTTCACGGAAAAAGATAAACCCGCCTAAAACTCAGCATCCGCCTCAAAAATACTACCCAATAAATGTCCACAGAAAAGCTCACCGTCATCAGCCGCAGCGCTGTCGCGCCGCCCGACGGCTCCGCCGGAGAGCACGTACTACCCCTCACCTACTTCGACGTCGTATGGATATATTACCACCCAATCCAGCGTCTTCTTTTCTACCCGTACCCATGCTCCACCGACATATTCCTGCAGAAAATTGCGCCTAATTTGAAAAATTCGCTCTCTAAAACCCTCGCTCACTATCTTCCCCTCGCCGGAAACCTAATCGTCCGCAGGAGTTCAGACCGGCCCGAATTACGCTACTCTCAGGAAGACTCAGTTCAGGTAACATTCGCCGAATCGAATGGGGATCTCGATTTCAGTCAACTGACCGGAAACAATCCCCGTGATTCCAATCAATTTCATGTACTGGTGCCGGATTTACCCAACCCGAAGTCCGAATCAGGGTTCGACAAAATCCCTGTATTAGCCGTACAAGTTACCCTTTTCCCTGAAGCAGGGATCGCCATCGGCATCACCAATCACCACGCAGTTGGGGACGCTAGCTCGATTGTCGGGTTTATCAAATTCTGGAGTTCGTTAGCCAAGCTCGGCGATGGCGACAACGTAAAGGTAAGTGAAAATGAAAACCTCCCACCTCCTCCCGTCTACGACAGGTCCCTGATTAAGGATCCGTCGGGCCGGGCCGACTTATACTTGAACCAGATGCGGGCCCTTAAATTCGGGCCAATTCCCCTCACATCCGCAACAAACAAAGTCCGGGCAACGTTTGTTCTGCAGAAAAACGAAATCGAGGCCCTCCGGAATTCGCTGTCGGCCCGTTACCATTCCCTGGCCCACCTCTCGTCCTTCACGGTGACTGCAGCCTACGTGTGGGCCTGCCTGACCCAAGCCGATGGGCCCATTAATGACGATGAGCCCGAATTCTTCGGGTTTGCCGTGGACACCCGCAGCCGCCTCTATCCGCCCCTCCCGGCTTCGTACTTCGGGAACTGCCTCGCGTTTGCTTTTGTGGAGATTAAGCACGGTGAGCTGAGGAGTGAAAACGGGTTTTTCACTGCTGGGAAAATTATTGGGGAGCTTATTGCGAACAAGGTGAAGAAGAAGGAGGAGCTGCTAAGAGACGCGGATGAGTGGCTGGTGAAGTGCTGGCCGTTGATCGGCAAACGAGTCTTTTCGGTGTCGGGCTCGCCAAGATTCGATTTGTATGATGGTGCGGATTTTGGGCTGGGGAAGCCCGTGAAGTATGAGGCGGTGTCGATTGATGGGGACAGGTCGATGTCCCTCTGTAAATCGAGGGATTTTGAAGGGGGTTTGGAGATTGGTTTGTCTTTGGCTAGGGAGATTATCGATGCTTTTGGACATATCTTCTCTCATGGGTTGAAGATGAGGTGAATTATTCTTGTTTTCTCTTTTTTCGTTTCTTGTGGTTTAATTGTTGTTGTAGAGTGTGAGACTTGTTGTTGATGGTTGAGTTGAATTTTCTGAGTGGGATTGCTTAGAGTCGAGTCTAATAGAGCAATAACTTTATCGATCATTTTTTTTTGGCTAGTGCTCGAGAGCACGACTAATGAGATTGACTCAAATCAATGTTCCGCAGTGTTTGAAAGTTGTGAAAGCACCTAACATTGTAAGGCACAAACTTCGCACTTGAAATCGCTTAAACTCGTGTGGAGTGTCACCGGTCGAAAAATCCATTACGAAAACGAGAAAGTTTGACACACTCTGAAACCATTTGACCAAACTCCGAATAGAGTAAAAGAAGAAAGGAAATGAAAAGAGGAAGATTGAAGTGAATCGCACTCATCATCTTGAATGTTGCATGGTGCTTTATTAAGTGTGTCTGTTGTCATATAAATCATTTTAGTGATCTTTACTGTTCAAAACATATTTCTTCTTGGCTGCCTGAGCATTAACATGTCCTCTTTCAGAGCCATTCTTTTGTAAGAAATAGTTCGAGGTATTGAACATCTTTTTTTTCTAAACCAACAAAAAAAAGTCGCCTCTTTTTAGTGCATGTGGTTTTCATGATACATTCTAGTTCTATATTTGTGATATATATTACGTGCTTAACAGATGTATTGAAATTTACCAAGGTGTTGTTACCTAAGATGTTGAATGATCTATTTAATTAATTGTTTGAGGAAAGTTTATTATTCCATCTACTGAATATCCTGATTTATGATAAATAAGACTTTTACACATGTAAATAAATAACCTATTCCCTCATATCTCACATGGAATCTTGATGAGCTAGCACTTTGAGATTTGTTTTCTTTTCTTAACCTTCCCAACCACCTTGCCAACTTGCCAAATACCAATAATTAATGTTTTCTATAAATTGAGGGAGTTTCAGACAAAGAAAGACACGGCAGAACCGCAGAAGTGAGGAAAGAAAGAGAGAGAAGAGAAAAGAAAGGAAAAGAAAGAAAAGGAAGAGGAAAAAATATTCAGTCTAAAAGAATATTTGAGGGATAAAAGTATTGGTGATAAAGATAGAGAAAAATTATCGGAGAAATAATTTTATTCCTAGCTCAATTCTCAACTTCGTTTCAGTTCGCCGGAGCTCGTAAATCTGGTGTGCTACAGATTTAGAGACGTTTGCCGTTGTATCTTTGGGGAATTACAACTGAAAAAACAGAAAGATTTTAGCCGAGACAAGTAAAACTCTTTCAGCAAGAAGAATACGCCCCGTGTGGCAGCTAACTATTCAGGCGTAACTTCCCAAAGATGCAACAGCAAACGTCTCTAAATCTGTAGCACACCAGATTTGCGAGTTCCGGCGAACTGGATCAGAGTCAAGAATTTGGCACTTAATAATAGGAATAAAAATATTTCTCTTTTGTTATTTTGATAACAAATAAATATTTATATTTTTCTTCTCTGATATTTTTATCCCTCTATTTTTCTCTCTCTCCCTCTTTCTTCTCTCCTTTTCTGCTCCCCCTTCTTTCGTACG